GTTTTTACAATATTCAGCTCATTTTCCACATTTCCTAAAATGTCAATTACAAACTGAAAATGTCATTGTTTTGTGTGGCATTAAACACAGCCACGTCTTTGTTATAGTATAGTATAGCATAGCATAGCATAGGCAAGTATAGTATGGTTCAGCAAAGTATAATACTGTGTAGTATAGTAGAGTAGAGTGCAGTATGGTGTATGTTGTAGTATAGTGTAGCACAGTAACGTTCAGTCAAGTTTACTTTTCGTTTGCCCCCGGGGACAAATACAGTTCCTTCAGTTAAACAGATATTGCAGTAGTAAATACAGTGTCTAGCCTGGAGTTACATAATATAGCAAAGTATATTTACAAATTAAGCTTGTACATATACTTCAAAAAGGGGGGAAATTAAGCTCTTTGAATTGGCAGTGTATTTTAGTGCAGTGTAGTACACTGTAGTAATTATTTATATATATATATATAACACCAGAGCAAAGTATAATATAGTAGAGTAGTAGTATAAAATATATCAGTAGTATAGTATATTTCACCAGTAGTAGTAGTTTCTGTTTCACTAAAGGTTCCTTTAATCCTATATAAGGTCACGTAAACACACGACCTCCAATCATGTGATTGGACGTTCACATGTCCTCACCGTGACCCCCCTCTTCAGAACCCAGCTCCGTGGCATTAGTAGTAATGAAGGAGGTTTAAATTACCAGGGCAGGTTACCAGGTTAAATTGGGACCACATTCTGGAACTGCAGCGGTCGGGGTTCTTTTTTTTGGACGATGGTCACATGACGTGTTTTTCGTGAATGTGTTTTCACAGCGTCACATACAGGAGCGTGGACAGGGAACAAACATAACTCTGCAGCAGAGACAGAAATGACTGGAATCATTTCCTAAATGAATATCTTCAGTGAAGACTGTCGTCCAGTCGGTCCGTGTCACTGCTGTCAGTGCTGCTCCTTCAAAAGCTGAATGGTGGGCGTATGGTTGAGCGATTGTGAGCGAGGCTGGGGTCACACAGGGGTCGCCAGTCAAGAGTCAAGATGAGATAAGAAGGGGGTCAGGAGTGTCTCTACTCCTCGCCCCTGATTCTTTAATCCTTATGTGTCCAGTTGTGATGGATATTTAAGGAAGTCAGGAATGTTAACTCTCTGTTTGCACATTTTTTCCCTTCAGCCATGGATTCCCTCTACTTTGGACGTGGGCAGTTGCATCAGTGCACTCTTTGTTGCAAACCGCTCTGCCAAAACGCCCATCTTGGGCAGCCGTGGTGACTGTGGGCAGCTGTCCACAGTCAGGGTGGGGTGCTCTCTCCCTCTCTCTCTCTCTGCTGTGGCATTTCCTCTAACTTATATTTCCCTGTAAGCCAACATGAAAGCCATATGTGGAGTATAAATTCCTGGTCTTCACTGGCCCCCGGCCTGGCTGTTACTCACATCTACGAAGCTTCCGCATCTTTCACTGGATAGTGGAGACGGCTACAAAGAAATAATAAATAAATTAAATCCAAATGCAGATTCTTTATGGAAGAAATGGTAGTAAAGCAGTAAGTAAAAATGTGGAGCAGGCTTTCCTGTGGACCCACAGGGGATGAGACGGTGCATCCCCGTTTTTGTGCCAAACCACAGCTTAGGCCTCCGGGGGGCAGTGAGGAGGGATTTTCTGGGCGACGTGTGAAACCTCCCTGTGTCCAGTGTCCAGTAGCAGCAGATTTGACAGATGTGTGGAGCAGGCAGTCGCCTGGAAGGTGACAGAGGTTGGAATCACGTTGTCTGTGGGAAAGTGGTCCAGCTCACAGTGGTGGGGGAGCAGAGAGTACAAAGGAGGACGTATTATGTTATGAGTACTGCAGTACTGAAAAATACTTTTGTCTCAGTGACTGAGAAAGATGGAACTTTTGTTTCCAAAGTAGAGCTCAGGCATGGGGATAAACGTCAGCACTAAATATCCAAAATGTAGCCGAAAAAAGAGTTAAGACAAAAGAAATAAAAATAACCAAACGTCTGGTTTGAAAACAATGACAAAGTTTTAAAATTAAAGTTGTTTGTATTGATCACAGTCAGGTCACAATTGTCAGTTTCAGCTTCACAAACATCAGACTATTTTTTTTAAAAAAACAAACAAACAAGGGCTCAGTATAAACCAGCTCCACTGACCACTGAACCTTTACACAGGCTGTAACTGACCAATCCCACAGTCACACCTGTGTTGACTGTGGCTGCTGTGACCTGCCAATGTTAACTGACCTTTAATCTATCTGGACACACACGCTCGTGTTTGTGGAAACATCCTGCAGACATTTGCTGTTCAAAATACCATAAAGTATAGGGCTGGACAATCAGTGTTTCTGGACAGTAATAATAATAAAAATATATGAGTTGAGAAGGAGGAGAAAGTTAGTTTACACAGGGTTGCTTATTTCCCTGGTTGAAACTGGTGTGTCTGTAATTAAACATCTGACTTTAACAAATTAAAATGAAAACATTTGATTCATTATCTTCTGTTTTTAGCCTATTGTATTTTTCTTCTGTGTTTTCTCCCCATGGAAACATGCTCAGATGGTTTCCATTCCACGTAAACACAACTGGTCCAGAACCAAGTGACCATGTTTTCCTGTTTATTTCTGCAGGGTGTCTCTGTCCTGTTCTCCATTTGTTCTTTTTTATCCATGGATCACAGGGTTCTCAAACAACGGAATATTTTCATCGTTTTTTCTGTCTGTCTTCTGTGTCACAATCATGTGGACGTGCGCACTTTCACATCCATGCTGCTGAAATAGTTATAGGAATTACAATTCAGAATGAATCAGATGGTGGTTCATCATCTGTTAGCAGTTACACATCGGCATGAAAGCTTTTGTTCCTACAAGTGCGATGTACCAATCACAAAAAGAAATCTTCTGAAAACCTTTTCTCCGGCAAAGAAAAAAACATTGAATTAAAAGATCAAATTGTATTTTAATTCAGTGCCTTTTTATTTGCCTCTGTAAATATTTAATAGCCAGGTTTTACCTTAAAGTTAGCTTAGCTTGAGCTTGAGCTAGCGAGGCCGTCGCTTAAATTTTGCCTCATAAATGAGGTTAAACAAACACATAACACTGAAAGATTTCACAGCAGTTCACAGTTTTGACAAGAAGGGGAGCATTTTTAAAGCAGCGCTGAGCAGACTGGATGATGCTGCTGGCAATTAAAAGCAAACCAGTCCAACCACTTTAAAGAATGTTTTCTTTAGTATGATCCTGATGAAGGTTTGAGTGTAGACTTCACCCTGACTAAAATGGACCAACACTCTGTGGTTTACTTTATTATTGCATCTTAACATACCCTCCCAGCTATATTTAATTTTATTAATGTATATAATTTTCCAGGTTGTGAAAAATTAAAAAAATATATCCTTAACCCAACTGCAAAAACACCAGGCGTCAAAAGTGGCTGGTAAATGCCCCCGTGTGGTTGACATTATAATGGGTTTACCACACTGTGCTGTGATTCTGTGTTGTTTACAAGCAGCAGCCTCCACATTGTTTTTAACTACATTAATATTACCGCCCCTTTTTAAAATTTTTTTTTTTTTTTTTTTTTTGGTCACTTTACAGTATTTTTCTTTATCTTTGCAGACGGGGAATTCTGGCTCCTTGTGGCCTCTGAGGAAACTCCACAGCTCCACTGTCCGCCTGGGTAAAACCTCACTCCCACTTTACTCCCAACCTGTAAAAAAGTTGTATTCCTCAACAGTCCATTGATTCTGTTTTTGTACTTGGAGTGGAACTATTCCACTCTCCCTCCCACCACACTGGGCTGTGTTCAGCCGTTGTTGCGAGTCAGCAGCTATTGGTGGAAATTAAACTGTGACAAGAGTGAAAACAGTTCATAAATAACCCAAAACACATGACGCTCAGTGTTTTCACAAAGGTTCAGCGGGGGGAAAAAAGTGACCATACTGGTGTAATACGTCTGAGTAATCAGGCATGTTTTGGTGAGAGTGTGTGTGTGTGTGTGTGTGTGTGTGGTGTGGGAGTCAGCCCAGACACAAACATGGCAGCATGAAAACTGTTTCTCCAAATGAGCTGGTTTTCTGGTTTGCTAACAAATGCCTGTTGTCTTTGGACTAACGTGGAGACCAGAGCAGATCTGTGGGTGAGGTCAGGTCTTGTCAGAGCCTCAACATGGTCAGTATTTACACGGTCACTAATACTGGAGTACAGATGTCTGTGCATGAGGGCAAAGTAAAAATATACACAGGTACTTCTGGTGTATTTGGAGCAGCCACAGCTCTAGAGTGTCACTGCTGGTAAATCATGTGTCTAGAAGTATTATTAACCAGCAGACATGAGACCAGCCACCCCACACACACACACCCCCCACCCCCACACACACACAAACACAGTAGAAGCTACTGTCTACTGCTAAACAGAACGTTCACCTCAAAGATCCTCAGTGTCAGAGATTTATGAAGGAATTTAGTTTAAAATGTTATATACAAGATATAAGACACTACCCTGGAAATTACAGTTCATGGTGATGTTCTCATTCCCTCAGATACTACTTTGAACAGAGTTTTAATTTGCCTGAGGTCATGTGGCTGTTTTACTGTTGGCAGTTCTTCCAAAAAAAAAAAAAAAAACCTAAGAAGGAAGAGAAGAACCAGAAACATTTGGAATTCTAGGTTATGACCTCACCAAATCAGTAGTAGTTGTATTAGTAGTACTGGTAATATTGGTGTTAGTAGTTGAAGTAGTTGTAGTAGCAGTGGTATAAGTTGGAACTGTGGTAGTAGTAGTATAATTTGTAGTATTAGCAAAATACTACAATTCAATGGACCATCAAAAAAAAGTGAGGGTTCATTTAAACCGTCACTTTTGTTTCTCTTTGTCTCTCCTCCCAGTTTTTCTAAGCCTCCTCTCATCCTGGTGTCCTTGGACGGATTCAGGGCTCGGTATCTGAAAGACCACAGCAGTCACATTCCTGTCATCAACAAGTTACGTAAGTCCCTGACGCCACCGTGTGGTGCCAGCAGCACCAGTGATGTGACCGCAGTAGTGAACGTCTCCACACCTGACGGTTCAGAGGTCACCGCGGACCAGGACCTTTGGTCAAAGTGTGTCAAAAAAAAACACGACTAATATTACAAATAGTGACTGAAGTACACAAAAATCATGGGTCTGAAGAGGCTCTGAGTATCGTCTCTGTGGCCTGGTACCAAATGACCCACAGTTTGGTACTGGACCAAGAGAACCTGTGTGACAGATGAACACAGTCACTTGGCTGTGTATGTGCTTGCAGAGTAGGTGAAGTACCACAAGTACTTAATGTGATTTGGTACTGCATTGGGTTCCTGTGAAAACATGTCGTCTTTTCTTGGCACTGTTTTAGTTCCTGCTAACAGTTCCTGCAGTGCAGGCACAAGTAACCCAGGACTCTTCATCTTTATTTGTGTTGCAGGAAGTGTCGGAGCAACAACAACAAACATGAGGCCTGTTTATCCCACCAAGACTTTTCCAAACCACTACAGCATTGTCACTGTGAGTTTGATCCGGTCCACAGGTTGATTTATTGGACACTAATTACCAGACGGTTTTTAATTTGTTTTGTCTGTCTGTTGACTGGCCACAACGATAGTGTAAAAATACTCCTGAAGAATGGGCCATGAAGGGAGATATGGGCCACATTAAACAGACCAATAAAAGTATTGATTAAAAAAAAAAAAAATCACATTACGCCCTGATGTAGGAAGTTTAAACTTTTTGTCTGCCTGTCTCTGGTTCCTCCAGGGTCTCTATCCTGAGTCCCACGGGATTGTGGACAACAAGATGTACGACGTGACTCACAACGCCTTCTTCAGCATGAAGACAGATGAGAAGTTCAGCCCCAAGTGGTACCAAGGAGAGCCTGTACGTCAGAGCAGCTTAAAAAATATATATATATTTATATATTTATATATTAACTATTACTATTTTTTTTACACACCTCTTGGGTCTGATAAAAAAAAAATAGCAAAAGGAGCAAATACAACATGATTGTTGCTGGTAGCTTAGCACTGAAATACCCCCCCAAAAAAAAATCAAAATCCAAGAGTTATCTCGGAAGAATACGAGGTAGGTAGCTGAATTATTAAACTAATTTATTTATAAATAGTAATAACTAGGGGTGTCAAACTCATTTTGGTTCACGGACCACATACAACCTACTGACATGCCAAGTGGGCCGGACCAGTACAATCATAATTTAATTAACTATGAATAACAATAACTCCATGTTTTTCCCCTTTGTTTTCATGCAAAGAAGTACGAGAAGTATATGCGATATTTATTATTATTACTATGTATTCATATTTAATGAAGTGTTTGTGTATTTTTTTTACTGTTAATCAAGCGGACCGGATCGGACACCCTAGTGTGCCGTATGTTTGACACCCCTGCTCTAAGGGGCCCTTGTTACTTTCACTGAGGCACGGCGCGCCCCTGTTGAACTTCTGAAGGCACGAGTCACTTGTTTTGTTTTGCCCTTGACAGAGATCAGAAATGCTATAAGTCAGAATCATCTCCCCCGTAATGAGCTTCTTGATATAATTATGGATTCTGGTGGAGCCAAATGACAGCGTGTGAGGCCTGTGACTCCCAGGAGTTGTGCTTGTTTAGACACTTTGTGGTTTCCATTCAAATGAGAGGCCTCTTAAATCTCATCACAGAGCTGTGTGACAGGGAAACTCAAGTCAGCAGTGAGGGTTGACTTATGGTCTCATAGTTTTTTTTTTAAATTATTATTAGACCACATTAAAAAACCCTGGTCCAAACAGAATACTGGATTTATCATTAGGTTAAACCAAGTCCTGGTCCGTGTGGGCTCTGAGCCTGTACTTTGGTCACATTAGGTTTACGAGGTACTGACTGATCATAAAACTATGTTTCCATTAGACATGACTGCAGTGTGAAGGATTACACTTTCATCCTAATGGAATGAAGACTGGCACTGTGACAAATGAGCGCGCTAATGTTGCCTCTGAATTAATCATGAGACTGTGAATCCACTCGTCAGGTCTGGCTCACGGCCATGCATCAGAAACTAAAGACAGCAACTTTCTTCTGGCCTGGATCGGACGTTGCCATCAACGGTTCCTTCCCAGACTTCTATAAAGTCTACGACAAGTAGGAACGACGCCATCAGTGAACATGTGGTTTCATTCATGACACAGCGGTGAGGTGACATCACTATTCATCATCACTATTATCTCCTGCCTTCTTCTGCACAGGAGCATCTCATTTGAAGACAGACTGTCCACACTCTTCCAATGGCTGAGTCTACCACAAAGAGAGAGGTACCTCAGGTTTAGCATCAGAGAAAAAAAAAGTGCCAAACGTGACACTTCAGCGTTTTTTTTCTGACTTGCTGTGATTTCAGACCAGACCTCCTCACTCTGTACCTGGAAGAGCCCGACACGGCAGGTCACCACTACGGGCCGGGAAGCCAAGAGGTCAGTCATTCTCAGAACACTGAGGCCTGCAGACGTGAGCCGAGTCCTCACACAGACGAGACGCAGTCATAACAACTGTGGGGCCGTGGAAGCTGAACGAACTCATTCCCTTCTGACTTTTGACCCAGTAGCTGAATCAAAAATCCCAGCTATGCGTCCTCTGTCAGTTTGATTTGTTTTCGTCACGTCTGTGTGAGTTTATGGTCATGTCCTGGTCAGGAGGTATTCAGAGTGCAGGCTTTTTTAGTAGCTAAGTTTATCGCTGAGGTCTGTCTGCGCATGGGCCAAATCTAGATTTATGTGTTGGTAAGAGAGGGATAATAATCAGATTTGGCATTCATCTGTCTACTTTATCCATTTAAAGGATTTTATAATAAACAGACTAGTCAAAAGTACAGACAGTGACGCCTCAACAGTCCTAGTGAAAAGTGGCATTCCAGCAGCCTGAGAGACTCTTGAACCACTGATGATCTTTCCATTTAAGCACATTCACAAGTGGTGAATTCTCTCGAGGGCAGTGATCATCAACTGGCGGCCCGTGGGACAAATGCAGCCCGCCAAGTTGTCTACGCAACCAGATTCCCAAAAACAAACATTGAATAATACTGACCGACAAAAATGTGATTTTTGTTATAAATAAAATATGCTGCTGTTTTAATGGCACAAACTGTCCTTGTGTCTTCAGGTCATTGACGCTCTGAAAAAAGTGGACAAGATTTTGGGAATGTTGATGGATGGACTGACAGAGAAAGGCCTGCACCACTGTGTCAACCTGATCATCACATCTGACCACGGTGAGATACAACCCCCCCCCTCCCCCCGCAACTAAATCTTAGACAGGGATCAACTAGGACATGTCTCCAGAGACTCCAACAAAAATGACAATCATTCGGAGGTCAATTACTGCTGTCTTTTTATCTGGACTTCATTCCCAAAGTCCAGCATCTTTGGATGGTTTCAAACATGTGGGAAACAGCATCTGTCTCAAGCTGGTCACCTGTGACTTTTAGCAGTTTAGCGCCACAGTCAAATATTTATCTTTGTTGAGTCACTGCACCTGCTCACAGGAAACTAATGGACGGTGCCAAAAAACAATCTGATGAGAAGGAATTTGGTGGGCGGAAAACAAACTCTTCTCCGTGGTGTGTATATATGTGTGTTGCCCACATCTGGAGGCCACATGTTAAGGCTTGTAATTTGCCAAAGTAAAGATCAACGCAGTGGAGCGAACGGGAGGAGCCTATTTTTTCTCATCAAAGTCGTCGCTTGCAGTGGACTGTGTTCCTTTTACTGCTCTGTTTTATTCCGCAGCTATTCATCTACAGCACAAAAGCACAATTCATCATCCATCATGTCACATCCCAAACAATGGTGACAAATGTTGGGCTGCAAATGATTGCATGTGCACACACTGGGACTTACATGTTCCTGCTAATTTAGTTGTTGCTAATTTATCACAATCAAAACGTTCCCATGGTGCACTGGTGTGTGGAAGACCAATAGACCACCGTGACGCCCTGTGACGTCTGTGACACCAAATGAATAATTATAATGTGTGTAAGAGTTTCCACATCCACAAACAACGGTCAGCCATTTGTTTTTATCCTAAACATTTCCAGTCACTTGTAGCCTGAGAGCTGTAACGTTTAAAGACTGTGGGACTTTCAAATTCTACACCAAACAGTTAAGCTAACTGGATATAACTGAACATTTTTGGGAATTGGAACACTGTACGTCGAGGTCAGAAACCAGAGTAGCCAGAAGATTAGCTAACGTGTGTAGTTTAGTCAGAATACCAATATAACACTAAGAAAAACTAACAGCAAAAAATAGCTATTAGCAGCCAAACATTTAGCCAAATATTACTTAGCCAAATATTTGCGAAAATGGCTTACAAACAAACCAAAGTAAGATACTTTTAGGGGAGCTTAAATGATTTGCAAAGTTTGAGGGGGAGATGTTTAGTAAAACTTTTCTGGGAAGGCAAACCTCATGATGGACACCAAAACGTAAAAATACAAACATTTCTTTGTATTTTTTGCAATGATGACTTAAATGAAATATTCAAATTCAAACAGGGATGGAGGAGGCCACCTGCGAAAAGGCAGCATTTGTGTCAACATTTCAGGACAACACTGAGGACTTCACTATCATCCAGGGCCCAGCAGCTCGTATCAGACCCACTCGTCTCCCTGACAGTTACTTTTCCTGTGAGTCACACTTTATCACTCATTTCAGTGTAACTACTGCGACAGACAACATTTATTCTTTTTTTTCCCCCTCTTGACAGTCGACTACGAAGGCCTGGTGAAGAACCTGTCGGTATGTGAAGTATTTCTCCATGTGTCGCTTGTATTGATAAGAAAGATAAAAAATGATCTGCCGGCTTAGCTCCTTGTCAAACAACCCCTTCCTTGCTGTGCGGCATGTTGATTCTCTCCCTCCTCTGTGTCTGATCTGAAGTGCAGGGCCCCCAACCAGCCAATGAGGCCTTTCCTCAAAGAACACCTCCCAAAAAGGTTTCACTTCGCCAATAACAAGCGCATAGAGAGAGGACATCTGTACATGAAGCAGGGCTGGCAGGCAGCACTGTAAGTACAACACTGGTCCACCGAAGGACAGGAAATCAGGAACTAAAAAACTCTTTAGAGTTGGGGATAAAAACACTGAGGGCATTTGGGTTTTGGAGACAGTATTTCTGAGTACTAGATAGTACTAACTGTAGTGATCTGGGTGAGTTATCCATCTCCAAGTGAGTCTAACAAAGTTTTCAAGCCCTAATCTTTGGACAAAAATGTTTGCCTTTGACACATAAGTCAGCGGCTGTTGTTTTTACGCAGTTATAACGGAATCTGAGAGTGAATCTGATAACAGCGACCGCTTTGTGAACGATCGTCAAAATCGTCAGGCCTCTCTAATGTCAAATGACTGAGCAAGGCATCGATTTACAGATCATTGCAGGGACCGCCGGGGGCGCACTCTTGTAACTACTCTTGTGTGTGACCCCATGTGTCATCCCACCAACTGCACCGTACCAGGAAAGTTCTAAAGTGCTGCTGCTGCTGCTTTCACCTGTATCTGTTTGCACTTCTATAATGTGATCAATTATACTTCCAAAGAACTGGAAGTTCAGTATCATCAACACTTTTCAATCATCTCTCCTCAGCCAAAAACCCACAACTATAATCTCATCCAGCTCATAAAAATAAAAAATCCAGGATAAAGTCAAGCTGTGTAAAAAATATATTTAATTTTTCTTTTTTATTTTCTATCTCTATCCCATTTCTTTTTGCATGTTAACGTTAGTGGAAGACGCTGGAGACAGACAGAGGATTCCAGTGACTTAAATGCAAATGAAAGTTGCTGCAGCTCCTATTCTGTTTGCAAACATGTAACTACTGAGGAGTAGAATGTGCAGGCGCTCAGGAGTTGAACCAGGCCCAGTGGAAAAAGACTGCGGGGTTCAGGGATAAAATAATCCTCAGCTTCACACAGGCAGACAGGGAACGACTGTGTGTTTACTCTTCACTGTGACTTTGTCTCAGTTCATACTGAACCCAACAGTCTGACCTCAGTGTGAGGTCATTCTGGGTGGAACTGAATTATATTAAAATGCAGCCCTTCTGTATGAAAAACTACAACTCTGTTGTAGAGTTCTCTCATACATAAAACACTCTTTTGCTGGGTGGAACTGAATTATATTAAAATGTATGAAAAACTACAACTACAACTCTGTTGTAGAGCACTCTCATACATAAAACACCTTTTTAGGGTAAATTATTTTACTATATTGTGAGTTAACAATACTGTGTATTGTACTGTAGTATAATGTGAGGGACAGGTGAAGCACTCATCCCCCAGTTCCCCCGTTAAAAAGGATGAAATGGTCATAGAATGAATGAATGAGAATTATTTTTTATTATTTTTTCAGTTGATTTAAATTTTTTCCCTCCAAAAACATCTAAATTATTTTTAAAAGATGAGAAAAGGAGAAAAAACAGGCAGAGGGCAAAGTCTCTGCATATGATCACCCCCTCATGCAGTTGTAGTTACACACTCTTTTTTTTTCAGACAATTTCAGCCCATTAGACCTTTAACTCCAATATTATCTCTTCTAATTTTCTCATTGTTTTTCTTTAAATATTTTGTCTTTCACAGGAATCAAAAGGAAATCAAGTATTGCGCCGGAGGATTCCACGGATCAGACAACGTCTTCACCAACATGCAGGTCAGAGGAAGGACGTAGAGAAGGATTTACGTGTTTTGTTCCTGATGATAAACATTGATTTCACCACATCCTGTTTGACTTTGTGACAAGTGACTAATTGACGATAGGAACTATTTAAACTCTCAAGACTTCATATCGATCGACTTCAAACATGAGAAAGGAAGGAAAGCGTGTCTGCCAACCGTGGGTGTTGGCTGTTAAATACCAACAATATGTGTTATCGTACAAAACAGGATGTATTGTACGATAACACATACAGTTGAAGTGCTGCAGGCACTGGCCATGGAAATGACTGTATATCATCATACATCATACAATACTGGTCTGACACACATAAACATCAACTCTTCCTGCAGCTGCAGCGCCACCCAGAGACTAATATTATGCTCTAATGAGAATCAGTGACAAATTATACACGTTAGACAACTTTAATAATACATGAAAATCATGAATTCTGTTGTACGAAAGAAATTGTCAAAAAGGCTGAATTAATAGTGAATAATTAGAATCATAATTAATCGTAATTGATTAATCATGATCGTCAGATCGTTACAATGTTTTTTTAAATTTCAATTAGAAATATCATTGTGACATATTTCTCAAGTTAAAATGTGTTAGGGTTAAGGCTAGGCTAACTCTGTTGTTTTCATACGATAGCATAAAACCGTTTCCTTGCATTTCTCACAGGCGATCTTCATGGGCTACGGCCCAGGATTTAAGAACCACACCGTCGTGCCAACATTTGAAAACATTGAACTGTACAACCTAATGTGTGGTAAGTTGTTTATTATAGGATTATAAATTATTTCACTTGTACTTTAGCTAGAAGTTTTTTGTTTTTTTCTTCTGTCTGAGTTCTACTTTGTTCTGCTGTTGTGGGTTTTGTACCTTACCTTTTGTTAGCCGATCTGGGCTGGATTCAGTTTCTGCCTTCAGGACCCGGCCGTGATGTCATTCCACATAAAGAAACGTCTTGCCCCCAGAGCTGCATGTGGGTCTGATGTCTTCTTATTCAGTATTATATTTTCTTTTGTCCAGATCTTCTTGGGATTCGTCCTTCTCCCAACAATGGGACTCATGGTAGTCTGAACCACCTCCTGAGGGATCCAGTCTTCCTCCCAGTTCACCCAGCAGCCCTCTCCTATGACACACCCTGTGAGGCCAGTAGTCCACGGCCCACCGATGACCTGCAGTGCTCCTGTCCATCCCAGACCAGGGACAGGGTATGGTCCACCAGTTTCTGGACACCATTCTGTAACAAGATGTAGCCCACATCTGAGTCAACTTCAGAAAAAGTAAAGATTGTACAATCTCTGTACTAAAGACAAGAGCTTTTGTTTAAGCTTGGCTAAAAAGTGGCCCAGAGTCTACATAACAGATGTGGGCCGGTCAGGGTCATTTTCAGGTCAAGCAATTGCTTAATAGCATTGAATAGTGGTCCCTATTCTGGATATGAAATGCGGCCCGTAAAGATCTTTCGGTCCACTGTATAATCCCACTGGACAATGTGGCCGACGGTTTTCGGTCCACTGTATAATCCCACTGGAGAATGTGGCCGACGGTATGGAGACCAAATGTTGGCTAAACAAAATTATCTGGTAAACACAAAGCGATTCAGCGGCAAGTTCAACACCAGTTTTGTTTTCAGTTTTTGCAAATATGTGGCCTACATGAATACCAGATGTGGGCCACATTAAGCCCAGCATTTCTTTAAATCAAGTAACATGTCATCCATGTTTACTACCATGCAGTCCAAATTCTACTAGTGTCATGTCTGCGTGGGTGAAGCTGTCATTGGTGGGATCTGCTGTACAAACACCAACGTTAGATTTAGGTTACCCCACCCAAATAGAGATTTTGTTTGGGCAGCATGACGGGTCAGAACCTCTAACATGAGTTTATTACACTAACTGCCCAACTGTGTTTTTCAGGAGGTAGACATGAACAGGCCTCTCATGACAGTGAACTCTAGTGAGTATGATTGTCTATGTTTTCATCAATAAAATATTCCCAAGAAAATGAATATAAAGTGTCTGACTTTTGGGTTTCAGCTGATAGGGTCCGCTGGCGTCGCCTCCACCATCCCTTCGGGACTCCTCAGGTGGTCCAGCCCGACGTCTCCTTCTGCCTCCTGCATCATTCTGACTACCTGAGCGGATACAGCAGGGACCGCCTCCAGCCCCTGTGGGTCTCGTACACCATCCCGTCTGTGGTCAGTGAGACTGTCCACTGTTGTTCAATCTCTAAACATAGCCTGTGTGGTGGACTCTGTTCCCGCTGTGGTCAGGGTTTGGCAGCAGATATGGACGAGGTCGTTCAGCTCTAAGAAACTCCGACTTCCCCTCTGAGCTCAGAGCTCTGGTTGGCTGAAGAACGGCTCGCGTCTTCCTTCCAGGAAGGTTTTGAACTCTTGTTAATCAGCGTCTAAACGACAGAGTGGACAGTGATGTAGATTTGAATCCATTTAAATTGAAACAATTTTCTGACTGTATTTCTGCCCATAGACAGAACAGTTTTACAATTTTACCATGACCTGGATGAATGAGAATCTTCACAGACAATTTTATAAAGTGATTATTATATTATATATTATATTATTATTCTAGAGCTGTGAAAACACAGAGCAGTACAATGACCTCGTTGACCCTCATTCACAGGAGAAGCAAGATCCCACCACACCCCGAGTGCTGCCCCGTAGTCTGATCCTTCCTCTCTCTCTCTCTCTCTCTCTCTCTCTCCCAGACTACAGTGCAGCCTCTGAGCCCAGAGATGGAGGCTTGCGTTCGTGCCGACGTACGAGTCCCGGCGGCCACCAGCCAGCTGTGTGTACGCTACAGGGACAACTCCAATCTGACCTTCGGCCTGCTGCACTCTCTCTGTGAGTGTGTGTGTGTGTGTGTGTGGGTTCTGATGGTGTGTGTATGTGTGTGGTGGTGGTGATGTGGGAGTTTTCGGCCCTCCGTCGCCTGCTGGGTGTCGAATTCAAGTTGACGTGTTTCACAGCGACATTCTCATGTAAAAATCCTTTGTGCTGGAGGAGTGGGACAGAGGAGAGAGAGTCTGGTCCCCAACAGCCCAAACAAAACGCCGGAGATTCCCTGTATTTGGAATGAAATCGTTTCTGGAAGCTTCTCAAAAGAAAGTGACAGGCTGAGAGAAAAGGAAGTGAAGAATCCACCACAGCTGAAAATAAAAAAAAAAATAAAGGAAGTGAAGAATCCACCACAGCTGCAAATCAAAAAAAATTCTTGCACCTGCTTCTGGTCAATAGAGCTTGAAACCATATGACAGCCCTCACATACTTCTCTGCCACTCCTCACACAGTACCACAGTTCCACCTCGAACATCCTATCCTGTTCTCCCACTTGAGAAACAAATATGTCGTGTTTGAGTGATCAACAAAAGACTTTTCACCACTTGCGTGGAGACTTATGTCACCTGCTCACGTGGACTTACATAAAGTAGTTAGTATCAGTAAGTCCGTCTTTTTATTTTCTTAGTAAAAAAAAAAAGAGAGGAAAATGTGTAAATATCACAGACTTTCCTCTCTTCTCTCTGTCCCTCTGAGTATAAACGACCAACTCAGTCCAAACAAACCCTACACCCCTATAATGATGTCCAGGAATGCTGTGGCCATTACATGGATGTAGCTGTAGTGCAGGGCACAGGGTGGGCAGAGCAGGAGTAGACAGAGAATCATCATGAAATGGTTAAAGAACAGGAGACATCTTATTTATTATGGATAATAAAATGTTAGAGCAGCCACAAACAGAGTTAACGAAGTTTCTCCGTCTCCGGCTTTAAAGTCAGTCTGAAGTCTAAGACCTCCCCCATAATATAAACCATGTGTGTCGACGACTTTATGTTGAACCATCAACGAACATCAAAGAACAAACTTTACAACCTCCTCCACTGTTCCTCACACACATCACCTCCTCTTTTGCTCCTCTACTCCTGCAGATCTGAGCATCACTGGACCTTGGTCTGACTCCCTGCTCACCAGCAACATGGCTCCAATGTTCCCTGCATTTAAAGGTGAGTGGCTTTGGTTACAGCTATAAATCATCAGGTTAAGTAGGTTGCTCCACTGCTAGAGGGTTAGGGGTTCAATTCCCAAGGGACACACCTCCAAGTTGATTCTGGAGTAAGTCCTTGACAACAGGTCATAACCTGCATCTTTGCCTGTTAGAATATCACCAGGAATCAAGACCTAAAGAATGAAAACATAAGAATGTATTATTTTATGTTGTCTTGCTGCGGACACCCAGAGAAGCCAGTCTCCAAAACTACGGAAGTAAACTTTGGCAGTTCTTTTCGGCTGGGAAGTAGTAAAGACGGAGTTGATATCTTAATCCCACAGTTGTCAGAAACCCTGCCAGCTGAATTAGAGAGAGCTGTTGAGCCGAGCGTTTTAATTAAGCAGAGAGGTGATTTAATCCTCTGGATCTGAGCGTGCTCATTTTTCCAACAGCAGGTACTGTGGCTGCTCTGTCTGTCCTCCACTATTATACTTCCCCGGGCTAATTTTCCACAAAACAGGCCTTGGTTCTGCAGCAGTCGGCTTGCTAAATACACACAACAGGAGTTCAAAGATCCGAACACTGTGATTATACAGGACGACTGTACTTTCATTCCATCCAGTGCTTTCTGGAAAGTTCAATTAAAGGTTTAGTCAGAGGATTTTTTTCCCCCCTCAGAAGCTGCAGCCTTTTACCCCATAACCCTAATGGATGAATAATTAATTTCATGTGGAACACATTCTGTTTAAAATCACACACTCTTTTACATGAACTTTCCTGGACTGGACGTTGCTTAACAACCAGATTGACTGTGTCTGAACTTGCACTTTCACCTGTCCACGTAATGTGTGTGTGTGTGTGTTTGAGTGTTGATAACAGCAACGTTTTTGTCCAAACTTGTTACTTTCTTAGTGAATCATTTATGATGAATTTTCCACAAGCTCAGCTCTGATCTCATTTCCTCTCCAGGAAAACAACGTGTGAGTTGTGTTTTTAATCAGCTAACCGATGCTGCCCTCTGGTGGTTCGTTATATTTTCCACACCGCCTCGGTCACTATTTAAAGATTGTTTTTGGTTCTAAATTTAAAGCTGCCCACTCCACAGTAGCCCACAGGCCACATCGTCATCACTGGTGTGTTTTCTTCCCAATCACAGTTGTTTGGACCCACCTCCATGAAGTCCTGCTCCCAAAATACTCCCAGCCTAACGGAGTCAACGTCATGAGTGGGCCCGTATTTGATGAAAACTTTGATGGACATATTGATGCTTCCAAAACAGGGTAAGTTAAAAACACACAGGATTAGGTCAACAGTTTACTGACAGTGACAAGGATTAAAAGACACTCTTCCACTGGGTGGCAGCACATGACTATAAAAACCGCAGGGACTCAGAGGTGAGGTTTGTGAATAATCATGTTGTCTCTCGTCCACTCAGGAACCAGGCTCCCGTCCCAACACATTTCTTTGTGATTCTGACCAGCTGTGGTGACCCGACCTTTGGCCCTGCTAACTGTCAGGGCCCACTTCGAGCCAAGTCCTTTGTCCTGCCCCACAGACCGGACTACACTGAGACCTGTGCAGTGAGTAGCACCTCGTCTTAACCCCTCCCTCCTCCTCCCGTCCCCCCACGGTGGAGTTAAACCATTAAAGCTAAGACTTTCATTTGAACTGAATGTGTCTTCTGTCTCTGTCTCCTCAGACTGTCTCGGACTTGTCCTGGGTGGAGGACTGGTTAAATTTCCACTCAACTCGTGTCAGAGACGTTGAGCTCCTGACAGGACTGAGCTTCTATCACGACAGGATATCAGTAGAGGAGACGCTACAGCTCAAGACGTTTCTACATATAGCCTAACAAAGAGACACTAGAATTTCTAGGAGAGAAACTCGAATGAACTGGTTCTTATTTGCCAAATGTTACGGCGCTTCCTGGTTGTACTTTTCTTTCTTACAGCAACACCGTTGTCATAGTTTTGTAAATGTTGAGTTGCTGAGGCCGATGTGGTTTTGTGTGACTGTGTGTTTGGCGCCGTCCGAGAAAAAAGAACTAGACTTTCCATCCAGATGCAAAAAACTACTGCACTCCCTGCCACACCCTGTAGGAAGGGTTCGATTCCCTGTGGTCTTTCTGCATGGAGTTTTCATATTCTCTTCAACATTGTTCCACCTTAATAACTGTCTACAAATGGAAGTTAAATGTTTGTGTCAGTTGTAAAATGTCAAAGATTTTTTAATGTCTATTGAATTTCACCAATTTTTTTTAGTAAATAATAAAAAAAATCTAAAAAAAAAAAACGTAGTGTAGAAATTGCCTTGCCTTCCTGTGACAATCAACACAGAGACGCCAAAATGTTGGTGTGCGTGCGTCTGTGTGTTTGTGTGTGTGTCAACACTACATCAATCTACGGCGGAAGGAAACGTCACCATGTGTTAACTCTTTAAAATCCGCCACTTCCTCACACTGACCAGATACGGGGCTGCAGTGGAGCTGAAGGTGAAAGTGAGATCTCACGGTTGAGCGTTCTGCACCTCTCACCTCTCCCCTGACACATTTCTCACCACTCTTGCCCCAGTTTGCTTCGCTCTCCCACACCTGTAGAAGTTCTGTTTTTATCATCACTTGTATTTGAAATTACAAGCTGTTTATTTTCATCTGCTCAGGTTTGGTAACGATGTTGCGTAATGTTTGTGTCTGTAATCAAGGCCTTTTTATTTGTCATCGACCGTGTGAACCGTGTCGTATTCCAGCTGCAACCGGTGTGTGTTGAGCCGTGGTATAGAAAAGGTGTTGTCAAAGATTCACGTTGGTATTTTTCCCTAAAACTAACCAATAAAATGTTATAATTTGCTTAGTTCATGTTGCCAAACACATGTAACAATAATTTGAACATATTAGAATGTGCCATGATCTTTTGTGCTTCTTAACATCCAGTCAGACGTCCAAAGCCAGTACATTATGGTCAACATGATTTTTTTCTTATTACCCATCATTCTCAGTAACGTTCACACAACTGTTCTGCATTCAAAACACAAAATTATTCAAAATAATAATCTGGAGATTGACCAGTGCCCAATATGAAAACATTTTTGTCCACTAAGAAAAGGTCATCATTTTCAGTAACTAGAACTGAGTAGGTTCATGAGAAACAGAAACACAGTGGTTTGGTTAGTGTATGCAATTTTGTGGGCTACATGCTGACATGCTTGAGCAGCCGACTGGAGTCAGGGGTATGTATACACAAGGTCTTACAGGAAACCTGCCACAGACCATGTGACCTACTTGCGGTCCCTCCCTTATTTGCTTCTTCTCGGACGTGTACATGCACTTACCTGGGAACCTCTGCTTGCTGAGTCACTGCAGTCCTCTGCGTAGTGAGGGCGAGTGTGAAATGACTCTGCAGGCCAATGGCGGTCCAACTGGCAGTTCATTCTTGAAATGACGACCTCAAACCTCATACACCAAATAAAGAATGAATGAATGAATGCACTCGGCATCCTGTCCTTCTTCCGCGCACACGTTGACCATGTGAGTCACGGGTACTTACAGGCAGAGATCATCCCACTGGGCCGTGGTCCACGTCAGCGCACGACTGATAACAGCTGTGTCTCGCTGTGAGCCATGACGTCTGATTAGAGCAGACACTTATTGTTTTCTCCCACAGCCTGGCAGCTCTGGAGAGTAACAGGAACACCAGCTTATCTACCAACACAGGCTGGCGTCAGGTCTCCTCTGCCTCCCAACCCTGTGTGTGTCTGCTGTGGAGGAGAAAACCAAAGATGAAATACAAAGAAACAGCCATGATGTCCATCTGGGTCACATTTGAGTTAGACAAATTGTGTGGGCCACAAATGTCCACAAGACAAACAAGTAATTTCTCCACCAATGGTATTCCCAGGATTTTTATCATATCTAATATTTAATTTTCCAGAATGTGACCCACATCTGGTATCTAAAGATCCAGAATATTAGGAAGCCTAAACGTAACACAGAACTTTTCACTTTATGCCGGGCCCAATGAACTGGCAGCTGTGACTGATGTTTGTGGGCCACAAAAGGGTCGTAACCGTGTACTTTTGAGGGACACTTCATGTCACTTATTGTGTCGCTATTTATTCAAAAGACAAAAATAACGAGAATTTAATGGAGCGCTGTTGTTCGCCACGTCATCAATAATTCAAAGTTTGACATTTGGTCGGTTTTGCGATGTTGTCGTCAGTGAAGCATCGCTGCTCTGCCTGCAGCGTAGAAAGCTGCTGGGGTTTCTTAGGAGAAGTGCTGAAATCTGGAGATTAATTCTGAAGAAAAACAACTTTGACGGTTCCACTGGATGATGAGGACATACACAAGTTGTTGTGGAAGTCTACTGCTTTACCAATGTTGCAGAGATGTAAATGTCTGAAATGTCATCAGATCCTGTGGTGTTGTGGGTAAAACACCAGGTGGACCGTGTCGTCATGACGATGTGTCATTTGTAACGACTCACTTGTTTCAAGAAGAATACATTCTGGGAGAGGGTGTTCCTCTGGATCCTCCAGCCCGGGGGAGGGTGGTGTTGGAAGGGGACTCCCACCACATCACCATCAGGATGAGGGGCTTTCCTGCTGGAGCAGCAGGGACTCACTTTTTTTCTGCTTTTGACTTTTTGCAGCTTCTGATGACACGTGAGGAGGAAGAGGAGGAGGAGACCTGAGTCCGGTGCCACTGAAGAGGAGGAGCTCTGAGTCTGTTTACACTGAAAAAGAGGGTGAAAGACAGAAGGAGGAGGAGTCTGTGGCAAAAAGAGGACAGATAAGAAGAGGAGGAGAGACAGACAGAGACAGAGACAGAGGAGAAGAACTGACGTTAGATAAGGATGGATCTAGATTTTCTTCAGACTCTGGAAAGAGAGCGAGTCCTAAATGTCCTTCGAAGAGACAAACAGCTGAGAATCATAGAAGAAGACAGAATCAGGTGAGTCCATGCACACCTAGAAATATTTAGAAAATATTTATTTTAATTAAATCCTCAAGATGTTTAAAGATTTTTTTAATCCATATTAACATTGTTCAATTTTTAAAGACCAAATGTTGCCTGAATAAAAATTCTTCAGCTGTGTCTTAGTGGTAGTGGTGGTCATCTTTCAATTACAAAGTCAGGGGTTTGAGTTCCATACATTTCTTCTATCAAACACCCAAACCCACTGGCCCAGGGTCTGACCATATTTACAGCCCCACTTGGCCCATACTTTGTAATAAAATGCTAACTGCGTGGCTGTCTTTTGGTAACCAAAATTTGTACCAGAAACCTGAAACAAAAATCCTTCTTTTGAGCTTGAAGTTAGACCAGGTGACGTTAACTGACCCAACCTGTGGCCAGAGGAGTTCTAGTCATGGTTGGTGGTTAAGATGTGGCCCACAGTCTGGGTACCATAATCTAGGAATATCTTTTTCAGTTGTCCACGACCAGATAGTCAAACTGAATCACATAAAACGACAAGAATGACAAAAGCACAATATGTATCGTATCCCAACATATGGGTCAGATTGGTACAAATGATGTTGATCTTTGACGCTCAGTTCCTAACGCGTGTAGCCTGCTCAAATTCACAATAGGAAACCTGATATTAGCCTCATTTTATCGCTGTTATCTGGCAAAGATTTTACACAACTTTCTCCAACACAGGAGGATGAAGCAAGACCTCCAGGAGGTGCGCAGGAAAGGCGCCAAGAACTTCACTCGTCAGTACGGCGAGCGAACCTGCGCCCGCTGCCAGAGGCCCCTGGGAAAGTTCTGGAACTCGGGTGATGTGTGTCACGGCTGCAGCCACCGCATCTGCAGCAGGTGTCGTGTGGGAGCAACGAACTGGAAATGCACAGTGTGCTACGCCTACAGGTGAGGTCACAGTTTCACACCGACCACTACAATGCAAACGTCCGAGTCGGCGGTGGTCAGACCAGAGCTGTTAATGACGGGTGAAGGGTGATGGAGCTGTGGGAACAGGCAGCTCTGTGGGGGAACATGTAGAACCAGAGCACGGTCAAAATCCCCTTTTTGTCAAACCTGACATAAAAAGCTGTTTGATCATTTCAAGGAGCAGAGCTACAATAAGTTAACACTGAGTTCCTGAGGTGTCTTTACTTCCTGCTGTCCTCGTTCCTGCCTCTTTAACCTGAGTGTTTGTCTGGTCACAGGGAGGTGAAGATCAGGTCTGGAGAGTGGTTTTTAGAGGAAAAGCTGAAGAAATTTCCAGTCAGTACAGGTAAGTTCCAACTACTTCAACTGCATGTACTCAACAATATACTCCATAATTAAATATTAATGCACTATGTTATGTTTAGAAAGGTTGATGAATCATTTAGTGTTGCTATTTTACCACTGTTGTCAGACCAGTGCTGCTCGCTGAGCAATAAGGAACTCAAATTAAAGTGGATCACCGTTATTTACTAACAACTGCACTGTTTTATTGGCTTTTCTATCTGATGAGTGCGGCCGTCATCTCTGGATATATAAAAATATATATAAAAAATGTAGAAATATGTGCGTTATGGTTTAGACAATTCAAATATACCAATGACACTGAAGTCATGTCTAAATTTAACCTGTGTGTTGTCATTGATGTCATATCATCATACTCAAACTGATCCTAACCTGCTGCTGTGGCTTCATTATTGATGTTGTTCACCTTCTTTGCAGACAAGTATGAAACAGTCGGGGAGAAGTTACTGAAGGCCTACAACGTGCTGAGGTATTTCTTTTTTCTTTTTATATTTTAACTTTTATTTAACAGAGAACCCATTTAAAATGTTTGGATTATAAACTCCTTGTCATTCATTATAGTTTTCTTTTTTAGATTTAGGTTGAGAAAAAAATTAAATGAATAAATCAAATTGTGACATTATTTAATGATTTTTTTCTTGTGTTTTTTTAGTCATATTGCAATCGTGCCGCCGACTCCTCCCCCTCATTTGGACAATAATGTCACAAGTAGATCTGGGGTAAAGTACAGATGTGTTTCATCACCATCTTTAGTTCAAAAGATAACAAATATCTCCGATTCAAGCGTCATCATTTTCACACCTTTTCTTTTCTTTCTGCAGAGTATTAAAAATTCCCGAGCTTTCGCCAAATCACTGGAAGATCTGGTGACCTCCTTCACCAGTCACATCGTGAAGAATAAGAGTAAGTTGTCACTTTCACACCAGCTCATGGGTGAACAGAAAAGTGTTCAGCATCACTTCCTCTGCATTTAAACCCTGCATCTTCTAATCTGTGCCTGGCTGCTCCAAATGCACACAGCCCACGACCACAGAGGAAGTTTGACTCGATGACATGACGCAGCCAAACCTCTTACCTAAGGTTTCAAAAAAGAACAAGTGCAATATTTGATTACAGATTACAGGGAGTGACGAAATGCAAATCCGGGGAAAAACACAGATGTCTGATAACAGTGGCCTCATTAGCATTTAGAACAAAACCATTTAGTGGGTAATAGTTCTATGTTTTTCACCAGGGTTTTAAATTAAAGTCTCTTTTCTCATTGCAGAGATTTCAACGTCTCAACATGACATACAGGGAGACCTTCTGATTGTCAACAGCGGCTGCAGAGCTTCACAGTTCACCTTCAGCACTCAGAAGAGTCTGTCAGACACAGACATTGACAAATCCTCACGAGTAAGTCACTGGCTGACGCTCCCTGACACAGAGTGGAATAAAAACTTTCATTTAGAACCAATAGTTTAATTTGATCTCATTTGTTTTCTTAGAATTCTAAACTATTTCTCAGCTTTCTTATTTTATTCTTAGATGTTTCTTCTCAGAATTCTGATTACAATCAGAACAATAGGGCCGGAGTTCACTCTCAGTCCACTTTCTTCACATTTCCGGCTCAGAATTCTGATTACAATCAGAACAAAAGGGCCGGAATTATGAGTTCACTCTCAGACCACTTTCTTCACATTTCCGAGCGTGCAGATAAAAATCTGACCTCTTCTTACTCTCTAAGTTGATTCTGAACCTTTTAGACTTTTTACCACTTCCTCACTATCTAAAAGTCCAAACACTTTTCATAACCAGAAACACTAAGTCAAATTAACTTTGCTTTTATTTTCCTTAGCTCTTCAAAGTGCCGAGTCTTCCAAACTTGTTTAAGAAAAATAAAGACAGTGACCAGGAGGGTTCTTCCACCGGGGCTGAAGAAGAAACCTCCTTCTACAGTTCAGATGTTTCTGACGGGAAGATGGTAAGGAGATATTGATAATAACACAGAAAAAAAATCAAAATATAGATGTACGCAACCTCACTTCCTGCCACTGTTAAAAAACAAATTTTCTCTTTGCACTTTATCGTAGAAGTCCAAACATATCAACTTATTTTCAACATTAAGTATTAAACTGTGTGCTTTGCCCCCCCACCAGGGCAGTAATAGCAGCATCTACTCAGACTGTGGCCTCTCTGAGGGGATCAGCGTGGCAGGAGAGCTGGAGCTGTCGCTGACCTACAACAGCTACACTTCCTGTCTGCAGATCACAGTTGGAGCCTGCAGGAACCTCGCGTACGGAGACACCAAGAAGAAGAGATGTCACCCGTAAGAACGCTGTTTATTACTGTCAATATCTAATACATAAATACAGCGTTACAGTTGATTAAAACCAACAGCCTTTTCATATCTGCAGGTACATCAAACTGTACGTGCTCCCAGAAAAAAAGAGCAAAATGAAAACCAGTGTGAAGAAAAACACAACATCTCCAGTTTATAATGAGGTTTTGCAGGTAACTGTGGTGTTTTTCTTTTCATTATTACATTTTTATAAATGATAAAAGCAAGTTCAACATATTATAACAATCCTATACTGCAATATAAGAGGAGGTCCAACTCCATGTTCTCAAAAGTATCACATTTGGAATAAGTAAATAGCTTATTTTCCACCTTTGTTTTGGACAGTATCACATTGAACGCCACCTACTGTTTGGAAAGAGACTGCAGGCCTCTGTGTGGCACTCGGGGTCCCTGAGAAAGAAGGTGTTCCTGGGTGAGGTACAAGTTCCACTGGACGGCTGGACAACAGACGACAACGTCTCCCAGCGATTCAACTGGTTTCCACTGTGTCCTAAGGTGAAGCAAAGCAGATTATGGTTGTGTGTAAGGCACCAGGGTAATTCTTTAAAAAGTACTAGATAAAGTTTTAAAAATTATATATATGCTGACCAGGTCCGTGTACAAGTATTGATATAATTATAATAATGTTGCCATATTAGCCTTATTATATGTATATATATATATATAATGTGTGTGTATATTCCAATATTTATTTATATCATCACGGTTAATACGTTTTGTCATTTTTCACACGTGATCTTATCTTTGTTACTCAGAGGCCAGTAGGGGGCGCAATGGAATAACAGGACGAACACCGAGCCTAACTGCAACGAAAAACATGGTAGGATTCTAATGCTTTGCTTTTAATGGAAGCGAATTAATTTATCAGTGGCAAATAAACTAAAAAATGTTCTTTTAAAATGTCATTTATCTTTTTTATTAAATATTAATAAATTATTATTAAATAAATATATATTTAAAATATACGATTAATTATTTTGTTACATTAACAATGTAACAAAACAATAATTGAAAATGTGTCGAGGTATAGAAACGTGAGTTCTTTGTTCCCCATTTCTACCACTAGAGGTCATGAGAGCATTTCTTATTACTCTCAGAAGATACAGATTTTCTCATCCTGTTGAGGTTAACACTGTGCTACATTTTATTAACCCACTTACGGTTCTTATCACAGACGCCAAACCCTTTCCTGTTAATGCAAACACCAGTCAGAACGACTGTGTCAGAATGTAAACAAGCCCCATTGTCTGCCTGTCTGTGTGTGTGTGTGCTCATGTCACTGTCTGTAGCCAGGCGCTGTGTGTGTGTGTGCTCATGTCACTGTAGCCCGGCAAGGTGTGGCCATGTGTGTTCTGGTGTGAATCGGAGAAACCATCAAAGGCTTTAAAGTGTTTAATAGATCTGAGGGTGTGTGTTTATACGCCAGTGTGCATGTGTGTGTTCCAGGTATCTGACCGATATACACACCCTGGACACGCCGTTTCTGAAGGTGACACCAGGAGACTCACCTGCTGCTGATTCACCTCGTTACCAGGGCGTCTCTTCACAGAATCTGGACCTGTGGGATGAAAAAACAGACCATGGTAGCAACAGAAGTTTTGATTGGATGATAACATTTTACACTTCCAAATACTGTATGTCAGTAATAATAATTTATTTTACACACTTTATTTATTTCAAAGCAGCTTAAGGTTTATTTATTTTATTATTTAAGTTTTAATGAGTGAATGTGTAATCTAGTCCTGCTGTAAAGTTCAAAACCATATGTTTTTGTATTGCTAAAAAGTTGTGATTTGCTCTATATTTATTTAATACTGACTTTTGTTGTAAATTATAAGAATATTTATTGTCAAACTGTTTACTAATAAAGGCCTCCCATATTACATGTTATGTTGAAAGATTTTTTTAACACCTGGGAATGAATCAGTGTGAAAGCACAATAGGGGTCAGTCATGTTCACACATTGGCATATACAGTACATTAACCGTGTGTAGAATCAACCGGAACACGTTCAAAAAACACTAACGTATATTTTTAATATTTTAAGTATTATTTCCTGACACCTTTCAAATCGTTTTTATTTAATACAATATTTATTTTTTGTTGTACTTCTGCCTCCGCGGTTCTTTGACTCGCAAGGATAAATAAAATTATATAAATCTGAATTTAAACGGATTAGTTTACAATAAAATCAGGCGATACGTGAACGCCTCAAAGTTCCAAAAGCAAGATGGCTGCTCGTGACGTAATAAGTTTAAAGACAAGAAATTAATAACAATTTTAGGTAGAATTACTTTTTAACCTTACTACATACCACCACGGGTGACATATTTTAACCATATTAATCGACTGTACGGTAAACTTACAACTTATTACTGTTACTTAAATGAACTGAAGAGTACATAAAAGAGCAACTACATTGGATTTAAATTGATCGAAACGCGTGAACACAATCAAACCTCACAATGCAGCTGTAATTTAGAATACCTACCACATCTGAATGAATATTACACTTAAACGTCAATACTCCGATTAAAGAGATCCAAAACAGATTACCTGTTCATTTACTACCTCTACTTATTAAGGGTTCAAAGTGCGCCACGCATGCGCATTAAGGATAACGACAGACCACAGGTATATCTACAGAAGCGCTCGACTGCCATCTACTGGAGTAATCTAAATTAATTCTGTTTTGCTGCAAAGAATACTTCTGACAGATGGAATTTTGCAACCACACCCATGTCTTGTAGTCAGTATGATATATATATATATATATACATATATATATATATGAAAGTCATTTCAGCATTTTCTCCTGTACAATGGAGCCTTTCTGTCTCCGTCTGTGTAGTGTGTGCGTGTGTTGTGTGAAAGACATACTAACTGGTTTCACAGAGGAAGAAGAAAACGCTCTAGTGTTCCTGTAGAGGGAGTGGTGATGTCACTGACCTGGAATTCTGTTAACCCACACTGCCCCAGGGTTCACATGGTAACTAGCTTTGTCAATGGCCAACAAGCAGTGTGACGTCAGCGTGACCACGGCGATGCTGAGACCACGGGTGTACTCTGCACTTTTACACAGTCTGCTGAGCAGCATTTATTTTTGGAGTGAATGAGTCAATATTTGTTCCTTAGCTGCACAACGACTACGTGGAATGTCAGCACAAGAACCATAGAAATGTTTTTTTTTTAAAATAGCTTTTGAATGAATTTTTTGCTGACCTGAGATCATTTGTGCAAATCTTTCAGTTACTTCGTAGAAATGTTTGCCTAACTTCAGATATTCAAGTCTTATTTAAAGTAAGTGTTCACCAAAAATTTTTAGAAATTAATTTCACCATCTGCACTCTTTTCTTGTCTAAGCCAGAGGAACACAATTTCCTTTTTCACCAGAGACAAATGTGGAGTTAATAATACAAAAAATACACAACCTGGAATTACAGAATTTGTTTATTGCCTGTATGTTGAACACCTCATTATAAAATCATGTTCATATACAACGACCAGCAGAGCTGTGTTTCCATTACAGTGTAAGTAGATGCTACTATAGTCCATGTCCAGAGAGAGGAGAGTGACATGTTGGCGTTATACTGTCTGGTTTAAGTCCTTCGTGACCAAAACTGCTGAAAATTCTCTCTAACATTTCCACCTCCACCCTCAGTGATCCTTTCTTGAGGTTAACACAGACACAAAAAGTTTCTGAAAGTTACATCCAATTTCTGTGACTCTACGTCAGGACAGCAAGGCCACTCTGGAGGTTAAGAACACACAACACATGCTTAATTCCCACTCTTCAGCGACACCACACAGAACAGACAGAAATTAAAAAACAGATTAGACCTAAATGTCCCAGTCAACACGGGGTCTCGGAGAACAGACGTTCCTCAGCAGCGATGCCGCAAACTGTATGGCAACTAATTGAAAAGTACCTCGATAGACAGCAATCTCCTCTTCCACTGATTTCACGGCAATCAGCTGGATATGACCTACAGTAAAAATAATAATTTACAATTAAATCTCCTTAATTTATTGATCTAAAGGAAAACATATGGAACATAGGACGTCTATTGTTTTGGTCAATATATAAAACCTTTCTTTATCATTAGTAGATAGCAAAAAAAAAAAATATACAAACCAAGACGAAATACCCTTTTTAATGTCCCATATACAGTATAAATATCAAACTAGGAATGATTAAAACTACTGTATAGCAATGTTGAACATAAATGGAAGTGTCCAAATATAATGAAAAACAAAATAAAACATATATATTTCTGCTTATACTGTCTCACCCCTTTCTGAGTGGTCACAATTAGAACAAGGACACTATTGTTTTTTGAATTTTCCAACGCAACAAAAGACAGACATCAATAAGAGGACAGGCTTGGATTAAGTACATAATAATAATAATAATAAATTTTGGCTAGTCCCCACCTTCATCATCATGATGTCTGGATAAAAAAAGCAGACAAAAGTGATCACGGAGTTCACAATCAAATACACAGAGTGAGATAATAAAGACTACAAGGAGAGGAGGTTTTGGCACTAAGGAATTGCAAAGCCCTGTATTTTGCCAGACAGACGTAACAACTGGAGCTCATCTCTCTGGGATGTGATTCTTCTGCTGTGCTCTTGCTGATCCACTTTTCGTCTGCCACCGCCACGTTTGAGCTACGTTGTGTGCGATTGTGCTGGTTATGTGTCGATATGTGTGTCGGTGACCATTCAGAAAGGGTCCTGGGCTCCTTATAAGGCCTCGAACTCGTCAATCCTCTGCTTGGTGTTGCCCTGTCGGATCTGTCGCAGGGTCTTGTACTTGTCGCGGCCGTGCCTGACGTTCTCGGAGTGAAGGAGGTCGTTCTGGGTGTTCTTGGATTCATCACGCGCCTGAGCCAGCTCTGAGGTCAGTGTCTGTGGGAGAGGAAGGGGACGCAGCGTGAAACATGGGAGGTTGAGACCGACAAGACTGTCGTTTGTTTAAAGTCGAGCAGAAAACCAGATTTTAACAGCGACCCTGTGACATGTCTGCTGATAAAGCCGCTCACTCACAGAGTCCGTGAAACAGTTCCGGAAGGTTCAAAGTAACATAGGAGTTTTTACCGGGGGGGGGGAAGGGAGCAATTTTAAAGAGGTGCTGAGCAGAGCTGTCTGGTAATTAACTAACAGATAATTATCCTTGTTTTTTTTTCTTGCTCTGGTCAAAATAATGGTGTTGGTGGATTCTTTGTAGTTAGGGATTTAAACCTTCAAAAACACTCACGAAAAACATGTAAAATGAGTGACCAGTTCTGGTCTTCAAAGCTCTCACCCTCAGCTGTTTCTGGACACGCTCGTTCTTCTCGGCCTCGGTCAGGCGGTCCTCCTCCATGCGGTGGTCGTTGATGCCTCCGATCAGCAGGTCTGCGCTGTGCGTGCTGACGTTCTCATCGCTGTCGCTGTTCTCGTCCATGTGGTCGTACAGGGCGGGAGGAGGAGGAGGAGGAAGGGGCTGAGGTGCCGCCATCACCATGTGCAGTTCCTCTTTGGTTTTCATCAGATCATCCTGAGCCTCTCTGGCCTGGAGGAGAATGTGCGTCAAATATGTTGAACGATTGTTTCTTTAGAGCAACAAACCTTTGACAACCCCAGTTACCTTAGTAGCATTTTAAATCTTTCCTAGGACAAAGAAGGCATCACTGTGTGTACCCTGTGTTTTTGTTGTAATTTCAAAGTATCAAAACAAAGTTTGCTACGATTCAAATGTTTCCAAGGACAGTGAACGCATCACTGGCACTGCAGACACAGACATTACAGTCATTTTATGTTTGTTGGTAAAATCTACTATATTTATCTCCTGTTGATGTTGACTCCAACTTCCCCTCAGGGCAGACTGAGCTGAGTTTAACCCTTAGTTCAAGCCCTCACCCTCAGCTGCCATGTGTTGGCCTCCTCCTCCTTGCGTCTCCTGGCGTCCTCCAGCAGGGAGATCTTGGCTGTGTGCTCTGCCAGGTCTGCAGCCTGACAAATGGGAGGAACAAAAACATGAAAGATGTCCGACGGACAACAGGTTGAATCTTATTACCTACCAGTAAACACACTACAGGAAAATCAATGATGCAGGTTACCGACAGTCTTACTACAAAACCAGTCTGGAATGTATTGTAATGACGGCTTACACTGATTAATTTCTAGAACTTTCTGTGGATGACTGTGATTATAAAACATCAGCCTGGAGATTGAGTTTCACGACTTTTGTAACGGGTGTTTAAATCTGGACATCGTGAACATACTCAGGCTCTCAGGCCTCCGTGGGTGTCCTGGTACTTCCCTCAAGACCTTTACAACAATGTGAATGGCTTTAATTTCAGCAGACTAGACTAAACAGAGGCACAGTGTGACACACGGTAGCAGGAAGTAAAAAACAAAACAAAACACCAGAATGTTTGTGCTAATGTTTTTCCTCACTACACACGGTAAGGTTTAAAGTATAATCGTTGTTTATAGAAGGTGTTTCTCTGATTATCTGTGTGGAAGAGACCAGTTCTTTACTGTCAGGACTGTTAAAGTGAGAGCACACACTCCAGTGGGTGGTCTGTGGCCAGGCAGCTTTGGGCAAAGAGGGAGGAGGGGTTAGTCTGAAATAAGGAGGTGTGGTTCAGCTGGAACGCCAGGCTTAACACTGAACCCTGTTGTGTGCAGAGCTGGTCCCAAACAACAGCTAAAGCCACTGAGACACTGACCAGCTGCTCCTGGCTCTTCTTCTGGTCCTCAGCATGACGGGCCAGCTCCTCTTTGGCCAGCAGGGCAGCCTGACGCTCCACCTCCAGACGAGCTGCTTCTTCTTCGGCTCTCCTCCGCTCCTGCTCCAGCATCATGGCTCTCTGGAGTTGGTCCTGCAGCTCTGAAAACACAGGACGGAGGACATATACAATATGAGACAAATGCTGGAGTTAAAAAAAGAACATTTTTTTCACATAAAAACAAAGAACCAAATAGAACATGTAGAAAATACAAATATATAAATATATATTTCTTTACAAAATGTAAAGCAATTTAATAAACACGGCCACATTAGCCTAGCATTTCTATATTCTTGGGATGTAACTGTGCAGATTTTAAGCAAACACGTTTTCCTTTCGATCAAAGTGACTGGTGTTCCACTCCTCCTCCCCCGTTCTCTCTCCCTCCCCCTCACCTTTCTCCGCCTTCTTGGTCTTCTCCTCAAACTGGTACAGCCTCATCATCAGATCCTGCTTCTCCATCTCCATCTGCTCCTTTTCTTTCTCGATGGCCTCCCTCTTCTTCTTCTCATTCTCCAGCTGGGCCCTGCAGATAAGACAGTCGACAAAGTGACCTGTCACGTCTGCCGTGATGCACAGTTACCGCTCACTGATGATAAAGCGGCGCCACAAAAGCTGAGAATCAGCGTGTGTTTACACCAGCGGCTCCTGAAGGAACCGCGTCGAAGCCGTGGATGTTTTTCCAAACTATTGTTTTGGTTTTTTTTTTTATTTCACGCAGTTAAAATGAAACTCCTGGTTTTCACACATGCTGTGGATAAAAACTAAGACTCTCTGTCCTGTTCTGTTGCAGTGTCCGGACAGTGACCGGTGAAAAACGACTTTACTGTGGGGTTTACTGTGCCGTCTGCCGCCCGTTACATCACGGTGTTTGAACAGCTGTGGAGGACAGACAGTGGGCCGACAGCTGCTGCTGAGACCGGGGTGGACTTTCAAATGTTCCTCCTGAATTCAGGCAATTCAGGAAGTACACTTCCCACAGTTCAACAGGGAACGTTGTTTTGTTAACCCCGATGAATGGGAGCGTTGACGACCTGCATGTTTTACAAATGTCTGAGAGTAACAAGTGTTTCAGGTCAATGACTCTGCTGGACGTAGTTTACTAAATATATCACTGAGTTCATTCCACTGTGACAGCAGACCACACTGAACTTGGGGAAATACCAACATGAAAATGAACAAGGCAGCGCTTTTACTTGAATTCACTTCCTTTTGTTTGACAAAAAGACCACAACACAGTCCTGGAAATGGACACAGGATAGAACTGGTCAAATAAAATAAATAGAACTAGAAGGAAAGATTTAAGTCGTATGTTTTTAAAACACATATATACATACATATATACAAACATGTTTTTTGTATATTTATATATAATATAAAAAAATTGTTTATATTTCACAGGAACAATATTATTATGTATATATTGAATTATATTAAAGATGTCAATTAGGAATAATTTTATCAAAATATTGATGGTCAAGTATTATGATAATTGAAAATGGTTATAAAAAACATTATTATTATCAATAATAATAATAATAATAATATGATCAAGAGAATAATTTCAACTTGTCATCATCACTACACAAGTATGAATGCTAAGCTAGGATCAGCATCCAGTAACGCACTAAGACAAGGACTTGTGCAGGATTCCTCGTACCTCTCCATCTGCTTCTGCTGCTTCTCCTCTCGGGCCTGGGCCTTCATCTGCTGCACCTCGATGGTGTCGGGCTTGCGGCGGCGCATGTACAGCTCATGGTTGCCCATGCACAGCTGCAGGACGCGCTTGTTGATACGCAGCCGTGGGACGTAAAACACAAAGTCCTGAAAGTCGGAGAAGAACCGTGAGGAGCTCAACTAGTTACGAGATGAGGCACAGCATCAACAACGTGCACAAACTTCTGTTTGACTTTAGATCTTAATATTAAATGTCAACATTAGTCTGGTTTTGATCCTTCTCAAAACACACACTCATAACAGTGTTCACTGTGACGCCCAATTCTGATTTATTCTGAGTCACTCGACTAAATGGTAACTTGGTCCTAATCCAGTTTTATATAAAACTTATTTTTGCTGATGGAAACAGACCATGATTTTCACACAAAAACCACCATAATTAAAAAAAAAAAAGGGAAGTGAAACTCACTGCAAAAACACGCAGTGAAACATTTATTTCTACCTAAAAAGGAACAAGGCGTTTTTCACTGGAGGTCAGTGTTAACATTGGCTGACGCTGCACTGCTGTCACTTACTGGTGATTTCTTGTCAATGGGCTTGATGATGAATTTCTTGTCGTTGAAGGAAATGTTTCTGATTTCACTCCAAGGGAAGCCGATCTTTGGCGTCAGTCTGAGGAAATAACAGGCAGAGAAAAAACACAGTTTAATGAAGTGAAGTGAGACAGGATGAAGCTGCGAGGAAAAAAAAAACAAGTTCCTGGACTTAAATAAAAAACTGGGTCTGTGATGAGATAATTTTGTCCAAATAGGCTGAGTCACCACGTAGTCGTAGAAACAGCTGATAGCAACAAGGGACAGTCGTAACACTTTCAGGGAAAACTACACCTGGTCAATGAATACAAGAAACTTGAAATTTTTCTACAGGACCAGGGGCGTGGAGCCATGTTTATTCTGGTTGGTGCTCGCTGGTGCATATGTACAGGACTTCTATGGCACTAACGTTGAAGGAAGGCTCCAAACTGATCGACAGTTTTAAACATGTTGCCACACACACCATCCTTCTACACGTGTGTGTGTCAGCTAGGACTCGCTCCAGCTCCTGCAGGATCCTCAACAGGACAGAGTAGGTAGGTAGCTGCTGGACTCGTGTAACAATCAGCAGAACCTGATGTTTACAAATGACATCTTTAAGGAGCAGCAGTAAATCAAGACCAAAGAGCAGAACCACACAGACACTGTTGTCTGCAAGTGTGAAGAACAATGAGGTCAAAGGCCTGTGTGACAGACAGCGATCAATAATCGTAAGAAGAAGAAATCTAGGGTGTGGCTCCCTCCCTCCCTCCCTCCCTTCCTCTCTCTCTCTCTCTCTCGTGGGTGAAAGAGGAACTGAACAGATGCAAGTTCCATTCCTCACACCACACAGAGCAGAGCTGCAGAGAGGCACCGGCCGGTTCACAGTGTTGCAATGCAGAAAGACGAGCATCCAGCTCATGGTGAAACTCCTCTGTGAAACTGTCTGACTGGAATTTGGCTCTTCTTCACGGCCCTGACACGCGACTCAGGAATCGAGAAAACAATGCGCAGGTTTATCTGAGGGAATCCAACATCTCGTCTTTTATCGAGCTGCTCCCAGTTCTTGATTCAAAGTCTGAGGGTTTTTAGTCGTCTCTGCCACAATGAGGAATTTGAAACTTTTGCATATTTGTCTTTTATTCACCTGATAAATAGATACTTTTATTATCTGATGGTGCATAGAGTTACTGCTCTACTTTTCAAGAACTGTGTTGCTTAATGCAAAGTGAAGGAAATGTTCCTTTCTCCCCTGCAGGGGGTGCTGTAAATACCATGTAAGCTTAATTTCTCCTAGATTATAAAAACAATGCTGTTACACCTTGCAATTTTAGTAGTAATATTAAAACTTTACTCTACTTTTACCATTAAAATAAATCATAGATAATTGCATTACTTCAATCTTTAAAATATAAATGAAATGCAAGGAGCGTGAGTCAACTCCATGTTACTTTAAACACATTTTAATCATTTAACTACGACTACAGAAGGATAGAAGTTAAAATTGTTTTGACAATGTCATCTTTTTATTTTGGATACAAATAAATAAAGTGGAAAGACAATGTCATCTTTTTATTTTGGATAAAAATAAATAAATAAATAAAGTGGAGGTGAGACTTTTCCAGAGATGACCGTCTTTGCACATTTATTTACACATCAACTTAATCCTTTTATTTATATTTTAATATTTATTATGCAAGAAGTTGAAATCGTAGAAATATAAATAATGAACTAGTGAGCACTGCTGTGGTTTGTGGAGCAGCGCGCAAGTAGTTAAACCCGCAGCAGACTGCGCCTCGGCTACACTAGTGCATTGTGGGACAGCCGCTCTCATCGGAGAGCCAGTGTTGTAGGTTAGCCTCACATTCTTAAGTGCTGCACAGCTTGAAAAACCAGTCAGCGTCGTCATGGCTACAGCAGAGGGCACCGTGGAGGAGAGACATTTCTTTCTCTAAACTCAGGGAGAACAAAAAAAACAGAACTTTGTACGATCCCTAACAATGCCTTTTTCATGCCGGATAAAGCCTCAGGCTACAAATCATGGTTAAAATGAGAGACAAAAATCAACCCAAACACAAGGGCAATTAAATAATTTGGACTTAAAAAGAACCTCATGTTGAACAAACAAACACTCATTATGGGCTGAATCTAGAAACGCCATTAAGACCAACACCGTACAGTCGCTACATCAGGAGGAGATCCACAATGAGAAGAGCTGAACTCAGCCACAGTGGAGCTAAAGGATTTTCCAGCTCACAGTCAGTAACAGAATGTTCTTTGCCCTCAGTAACCACACGCTCCGAGCCATCAGCAGCAACACTGAAGCTCTCTGAATTTCTTTTTTTTAATACCATAAACAGAGTGATTTTCCCACAAATCGTCCTGTCCTACAAACCTATAATAACCATGAGTCACACTCAGCTGGAGGCCTGAAAATGGAAGGTTTTCCCTTTCAGTGTGAGCCCAGACCTGCTGAGCTGGGACAGTGTGTTTTTCTGTGTAGATTAGAGGAGAACATGTTCTCCAAAAGATTGATGTCAAATAATCTTTGTTTGATACACATAGAAAGAAAGGCTGGAAAACAAGGTCCTTCTAGCATTTTTTTTTCTACATTTCTGGTCATGTGCCTACTGAAACACTGGCCCAAACTGAGAGAGAAGCAGAGATAGTCGTGAAGAAAATGTCACCTTTTCACACTGGGACCTAAAAGCAGAATATTTTGTATAATATTCCTGAGAACCTTTAAACCAGAAATATGTTCATTTTCAAGATTAGGTTTGGTTTGTTGTGTTTAATTTCTTCGTTAAGTCGGGGGGATACTAGATGTACTTCTAACTCCCTTTGTTTGACTACAATGTTACAATACAGTAATACAGTTTTTACTGAGAAAAACTGTAAACAAAGTGTAGCAAAGAGGCTTAAAATCCCATTTAAAATACTGTGTCAAAGAGGCAGCTGTTGTCTTTGGTGACAGTACTTGAAGAGACTCGTTCCATTCCTTTAGCTCTGTTATTCACAACGGGTCACAATCCTGAGAAACAGGAACACGGTCACTCTGAGACCGAGTCTGTGCGTCATCACCAAAGGCAGAAAACTGGAACTCACACAGGTTTCTAAATTATGAGGACATTATGAGGGGCCCACACCAATTTAAAGCCTATTGTGTCCACGTAGCCCGAGTCAAGTAGCGTGAGGTGCACATCACAAAACTCACTTGTCATCTTTCTCATAAATGTTCAGTCCCAGGGCGTCCACTCCCAGGTACAGCTCGGTTCCTTTCTTATTCTTTATTTCAAAGTAGTTCACCCCGTACATCTCCAGGTCCTGGGCGATCTTCAGGTACTCCAGCATAGCATCCTCTAAAAAAAAAAAAAAAAACATGTATAGAAATAGAGGACTGTCAACTGTTTCAATGTTTTTTAACTGTGGATTAATTTATTTTTAAATTTAATTTATTAATTTATCACCATTACTGTCAACTGTTTCAATGTTTTTTAACTCAGTAGCTGTGGATTAATTTATTTTTTAATTTAATTTATTAATTTATTAATCACCATTTGTCATGATTAATCAAGTTATATTGTCATTGAAATGAGTTTATGTTTAGAAAGATTCACATGATGCGTCTTACTTCAGCATCCCACGGTGCTCCTCGTGCCACACCTGGATCCTCTCCTCCCACTGTTCTCTGGACAATTTGTGCTGCTCCAGGACTCTGCAGAGAACAGAGAGAGAGAGAGAGAGAGAACATGAGCGAGATGAGCAGCAAAACAAACACAAACAACAACAACAACAAAACCAGACAGGACCTTCAGTTTCCTTCTACCTCTGAAAACATCGATTGGTCCAAAGGTAAAAACGATGAGTTCCCTTTTGGTATTTTAAGTCTTTGGTGTGAATGTTAAAAAAACAGAAGAAAAAGGTAAGTGAAGGCCTAAGTTTGGGGCTGCATTTCAGCCACTGACTGTGAACACAAGGTCAAGCCTGGACTAAATGGAAATAACTACCTGTTTGTTTTGTAATCGACCACAGTTATGGTCTGCTGTAAGCAGTTAGAGTGCTAGTTAGCTGGCTAAGCTAATTACCTTTTGTATTTTTTTTTTTTTAATTTTAAACAACTCATTGATCTTCACATGTAATAATACTTTTAATTAGCTGGTCTACGCACTCCCACGGGACGATGTCCATAACTGACACTGATCAGAGCCGGAGATGCTGTTCTCCAGAGATAACAACTGGTGCAGCAGGACTGTTTACTGTCCTACTTTTATCTGGGGGGTTGAGATAATGATTTTCTTTCCAGCCGGTTCAACCAGCACAGCCTACTGTATGTTTATCATTTCTGGTGAAATGTTTTTTTTTGTGCCCTGATTCACCAGCAGCTGACAAGACACACACACACACAGAGAGGTGAGTTTTTGACCTAGATTTCATTTCTGTATAATGCTTTGTTTGTTTCCCTGCACCTGTTTGGCAGCAGCCGCTCAGACACCAGGTATCCCGGTCGATGGACTTCTTTGTTGCAGTCTCCAAACTTGGCCTGAACAGAGTAGGAGGCCAGCAGCACGGCGGTCTCTGGTGGGCAGTAGACCTCGTCGCTCAGGATGCTCTCCTTCACCTGCAGGAAGAAGAGCTTCCGGGTGATCTCCTGGATCAGCTCCTCCGACACGTCCTCTGGGAAGAACTTGGAGCGAAACTTGAACTGAAGCGGGTTCTCTTTCTTCACTTTCTGGGACGACACCTGGAGACGAGTAAAAAAAAAAGGTTGGATTTAGGAATGAACGGTTTTAAATGGACGTCACCAGTGTTGGTCTTTCTCTTTGTTTCCAGTCTATATGTTTGAATAAATACATAAACAATAACTAAGAAATTATTATTATTATTGAATAATGAACCATGGCAAATCAAAATGAAAATATAAATGAAAAAACTTCTCTTATTTAAGCTTTTGGTTGTATTTATTAATAGATTAAGACATGCTTTGATAATGTGCATTATTTAATTTCCATGACAAGATGGAAAAAAAGTTAATACGAGACATTTTAAAGTACTGCTAATAATTAATAAAAAATACCACATGCAGCAATTTTTGGGGTGAAATTACATTTGGGGACATACAATTTCAAAAAGCAATGCAGAAAGCAGAAAGTTACTACAGAATATAAATCAGTACTTACGCCGACAAAATATACAACCAAGTGTTATTTTAAAATGACTAAAACTTTATCATCTCATATCAAAACCAGGTACTTTTCATAGGACTGTTCAAAATCAGGATTTTTTTTTGTGACACAGGGCATTTACATGACGCTGACTGAAGCAAGAATCGACCCCTCCCTCCTCCCCCCTGGGAGCGAGCCCCTTATATAAATGCCATGCAGAGGAATGCTGAAATAATAGGCTTCAGGCCAGAAAAGGCAGGTGCATGTTTTTCAAATACTCGTCTGCAGTAACACTTGTTAAGACTCAGTGCAAAACACCAAAATAGCAGCAGAAAAGCAACCAAGATATTTTTAAGATTTAAGATTTTTTTTTAAACACTAGTGCGCTGGAATTCCATCACAGCTTCCTGTTGGAAACTAGTAGGTTTTGTACAGTTTTAACAGAATCTGAGGAGCGAAAAAAGGGAAGAATTTCCCTCAGGGAGATGTGACTGAGCTGAGGCGTGATGATAAAAAGAAACTACTGTAGAATTTACGTCGCAAATACAATGTAATTTTACAAATCTGTACGCGTGACTTCACCTCTGTGACTTATTTCATGTCACTGTTCTGAACTAACACCTGCACTGGAGTCCAGGTGAACCCTGTTTACACTGGAAAAACAGCAGAACGGCAGTGGTGAGGGTTCACGCACAGGTCGCTTTGATGTCAAGTAATCCGCCTGCAGCTGATTCTACTGTAATCTACAGTGTGTGGGTTTTTGAATGTTTCAGCAGAGACAGCACCCAGAAAAGAAATTTAAATTTGGTTGACACAGCACAGCGTGTGCAAATACAGCAGTCATCCTTGATATGAGCTTCCCAAAATACGAGTATTCCATGTTATGAGTCTGCAACTATTGCAAGATTTTGATCCTGACACGAGGAAATATCTAGATATAGGAGCTCAACCGAGCTCCACCCAAATTTGAAAAAGTGGCCCCGACATTCTGTCGCGCTCACGGTCCCTCACTTGGTCATTTTTACCAATTTTTATAACAATAATATAAAATGTTTTCTTAATTATTATTATTTTATATTATATATAATATATGTGTTTATATCTATGGGGCTGGAACGAGTTAACTGGTTTTTAGTTATTTTTAATGGGGAAAATGCAATGAAGATACGAGTGCTGTTGTCAAAAAAAAGGCTAAATTATTAATTATCAGGACTGATTTGTAATCGTAGGACAGTGAAGGCATCACCGTGACTTCAGGGGCAGGTTAAAGTATACCAGCACATTGATTTAAATGGGTCAAGTATTGCCCGTGGGATGCAAAGCTGAGACTCATTAATCTTCTTTGACTTGAGAATTCAAATAAAAAGTTACACATTAAAATGAAAAAAGGAAAAAAAAACATACAGAGGAAATACTGCTTCACTTGGATCATACCTTTTTGTCCAGTTTCAGCCAAGTTTGGTAACCTTTTCCATCCATGTACTGCAGTCCAAAGTACCAGACTTCACGCAGGCCGATGGTTTTTACCACCTGTGTGAAACAGAAAGGGCAAGTCGTAAAACTGAGTTGGTTTTTTTTTTTCATTTTTATTTTGCTGAGGGTGACACACTCAGTTTTGGCCACAGTTTTTAAGAACCCGTTCTTCCGAGAAGATTATGAAACAATGACGTAACTGCTATTAGTGAAACCATGCCTTCAAACTTAAAAGACATGAAGTCATGATCATTAGACGCTGTGAGAAAAGACCTTTTAGAGAAGTTTCAGAGCTGGAAATTCTCAGGTACCAGGTAATTGGTGGAGGAAAACGTATCATGTTATACACTCCCACTCCCTAGAGTGGGCCGGGCCGGGTTTTGACACAAACTGCAGTAAACCAGAATGAAATAAAAGTCACTTTAAGGTGTTTTACAATTTGATTTGTAGCCCTAAAGACAACTCAGCGGTTTCACTAATGGTTTTAACTTTCACTTTGAGTTAACCACCAGGATAAGAAATATTTCCAGTCTGTTTTAATTCATAAAAATATATATATATATATTATCACTAATGGTTTTAACTTTCACTTTGACTTAACCACCAGGATAAGAAATGTTTCCAGTCTGTTTTAATTCATAAAATAATATATATATATTCTTGACCTGCACCCTAATTATCTTGTTCCTACATTTAGGTTACATTAAATAATCTGTCAGGAAGGTCAAGTCAAAGGTCAAATTGTCACCACAGCCTAGAAGCTGGTGCATCATCTGTTACAGTCCTGGGTTTCATTTCATCTCAACACTGTTCAGACTCAGTCTGGCAACATTTTTGTCAAATGAATTTAACACAAACTTCCGTCACCTTCTGATGCCAGTCGACCTTGAACACAGCGTTCCTACTGTTCTACCAGTACGACACAGTAACACAGAGGAGGTTTGTTCTGGAACTGAAGCTGACTAAGAACTACATCTAAAAAACAGATTATTCACAAATGATAACCAGATGAGAAACGTTTCACGGGACGCCAGAGGAAAAAAAGTTTTAGCATCAGCATCTCTGAGACCTGTTCTTTTAATCTTTTTTTTTTTTTTTTTTTTTTGCCCGTGTATTTGAAATAGAAAAACTGGAATAATCACTTAAGCTGCAGGAGGAGCTGCCATTTTCCACTGGCTTCAGAGAAAAAACCTCAATGACCAGAAGCTCTTTACAGACTTCAGAAAGACACAGCAATTTTCCTACAGCACCATGCAGGAATTCATGTTTTTTTCCGGTACGTGTGTGTGTGTGTGTGTGTGAGAGAGTCATTTAGTCAGATGACCTCTGCGCTGCTCTCTCTCTTTGAATGCAACACTGCCAAATTCCCCACCCAGCTACCAGGTGAGGAGCCTCGCCTCGCGGGGAAACACCGGGTCAACACTCCCAAGAATAAGTTTGGTTAAAATTAAAATCAATCTCCTGGGACTCTCTCTCTCTCTCTCTCTCTCTCTCTCTCTGTGTGTGTCTCAGTCTCTGTCTTTCAGCAGAAGAACTCCACAAACTCCAGGCCAGACTGAACCCTGTGGGAGTAAAGATGAATGACTTTTCTGATGGATTGTATTTAGAACAACATCAACATCAAGCACTGCAGCGGGGGCTGAAATGAGAGAGCACTTCAGGCTGCATCTGAGCGGTAACTCATAAGGCCTCTGAAAACAATCGGCTCTTTCACTGAGGGTTTTACTTCAGGGTCCACAGGGCGAGAGGCAGGGAAACTCAAACTCAAGTTAACACACAGATACCCGGAGTGTGTTTCCCAGGGGGACAGGCTTCTGCCGACAGGCTACCACACTGGCACTGGCACTGACACACACACACACACACACCTTCTTCACTTGACTAACCCACCCTCAGACCTGGCTGTACATACTGTCTCCTCCACCTGCCGATAAAGGACACCGTAAATAACACAGTTCATTAGAGGTGGATTAGATCTGGGTCTGGGAACACAGGTTCAGTAAACCCACCTCACCTCTGACAGACTGCCTTCACTCTAATGGGCTGCTGATTTGCTCCAGTGCAGATCATGAGCTGAAACTGCTCTGGTAATATTTTATATATATATATATAATACAATGATGTGTAGACAGCGCCAACTACAGACATTGTTGGGAATGGGGAATTATTTTGTCATGAAAGATAAGGCAGTGGCAGAGAAGGTGCTTCCTAGTTGGGAATAAATCCACTCCAGGTCCATTTTTTTATTTTTAGGCTCCAAATAAAAATGCCTAAAATTCAGCCCCAAACTATAACAGAACTGTGATATCCAAACTTTCTTCGTTTTTGTCTCTATAGACTTTAAAACCTTCAACAACATAAGTTATAGGTTTAGGTACGTTTTTTGATCGCTTAGATTATTTTATTTATTTATTATTTTTTATTTTCCACTTTTTCAAAATGTTTTTTTTCTGGTACAAAGGTACTATTGTATGTGACCTTGTAATTGATTAGATTAAATTGACTGAGGGAACTGTTGAAATGCCACTATTTTATAACGTTAACAGGAAGCTCCTGCAGCCATAAAACACTATCACATATCACACATATCAACTATAGATGTATTCCTGGTTTTTTTCTGAGAGTCTGAGATTTCAGCTCCACTTCTTGAGGTAGAGAAGATTTTTTTAGATGCTGTAATAATCAGACGGAAAAAAAGGTTTGCCTCAGTCCGGCAATGATTGAGAGAAACTGTAAACTCAGTGAAACATTTGCAGCTGCAGCTTAGAATCTTTAAACCGATCTCGTGCTCAGAGACGGGGAGCTCAAAAGTCGAAGCTCTGCAGCCTCAGAGTGAAAGTTTCTGGTCTGGGTTTTTGGGAGAGCTCCTGCTGCGTGGCACTTGGCCAGCCAATGGAATGCCGGTGGCCAGAAACGGCATTACTCGCTGCATCCTCTGAGCTGAATAACGGATAAAATCCTACAGCAGCTTAGAAAGCGGAAAGGAGGGGTTTACCGAGTCAGGCCCCAAATTAGGAACGACCAGGACAATGATGGAGTGTGTTTTGAGGCGGTGAACGCTGTCGCGGGGGGTGCAGGGAGGCGGCCACGGCCCAGAGGAAACAGGACTATTATTGTCCAACTACACAGTCATTGTGACAGAAGGGAAGAGTGAAGGGAGTGTCATATGGACATCATGTCATGGTTTAATATTTAAAAATAGCCGCCCTCAACCTGACCCCCCCGTACCCCCCCCCCGCCCATTGGTGGTTATATTCTAGGCTCAGTTTGAACACATGAGTCCATTCTTTTTCTTTAAGGATTTGACCGTTCAGACAGATTTGAGTTGTTTTGGGGGTTTTGACTTGGCACAGATCTGCAGGTATGGTCTGCTGCCTGAGGGTCAGAGAACTCAGTTCTGGAAGGTCATTGAGGTCATTTCAATGACATTTTTCTTCAGTTAATGTTACCCTTTCTTTCCTCATCAGGTTTGACATCAACCTTTCAGGTTTGAAGGTTTCACATTAAGGCCAGTTGTATTAAACGATGCCTCACCTCCCCCTGACCTGCAGGGGGTGCACTTCTGGAACAACACTAAAGTTTCACATAAATCACATCTCATAACATCAATTAAAATGTTTCCACAAGAACAGGTTATTAATTAAGCGTTACAGACTGACAATTACACAGAACATATAAGATCAATGGCTGCTGTGCTGATCAACGTCACGTGGCGTCTCGTTAGGACATAGAACTTTTTTTTTAAACTTCGTTTCGATGTCACCCAAAACAAATCTACGACTCCTCCCCAAGTGACAGAACACGAGCAGCTGTTTACCACTGGTACACTACTGGTTGCCAGTTAAAACAATCAAAGGATTTACTTTCTTATTATTCTGTTGTTTACTTTTACGCATGCATTCATTTTTAAAACCTGCTTCAAGGATAAAATAACAAGACGGAGGCCGTACGTCTTCTGTAAACTGTGATGTCTGAATGTTCTTCTTTTTTTTTTCTTTTTTTTTTATGTCATTGTAGCTCCAGGCAAAATTAAAGGAGCAGCAGCAGAGACTCTCACATGGAGGTGAAACTGTATGAGGGTGTGTAGGGGCGTGGCAGGCGTTTCTTTTTAAGAGCAGCGTGACGGGACGAAGGCTATGATCAGCGATGACCACAGCGGCCACACCAGAGAATCAGACTGGAGCTGCCAGAGTTAGTTCACGGGCTGTTACTCAGCATTTCCACAGATACAATGTGACTGGGAGTGTGTGTCTACGTGTGTGTGTGTGAGGCGGACGTCGCAGCGTGAATCAGAGTTGTCGGGGACGTCTCCACGAGTGTTAACACTCAGAATAGTTTGTCGGTCCGAGCAGAAGCCGTGAAGTTGAGCAGACAGTTTTCCTGAGCTTCTAATGAGTAACTGTCATCGACGGCCGTCCGTCTGACACGGTCACAGGGAAGTGAATGATAAACCCTGGCCCCTCTGACAAGTAGGCAGCAGAATTCACCAGTCACTATAAATAGAGACATGTCTAAGGTGGACAGCGTGCACTTTTGAACCAGCTGAAAGACTTTTTGTTTAAATTCCGTATAAAAACCTTTAACATGGTTAAAGTTCAACTCCTTTTTTTTACCCCCTCTGTTACAGTAAAATCTGCTTTTGTGCCACGCACAACTGTGATAATCCCTGAGGTACAGCTACAAAAACACACAAACATACAGGCACATAGTTGTCTATAGTTGCTATTGAAAAACTGGTTATACAGGAAGTGGCTAAAACAATGCCCCCCCCCCTCCCCGTGCTGTTACTGCAGCCTCGCAGAGCAGTCACGCTAATGACATGTCATCTACTTTGGGATTTTAGGTGCAACAGTATTGTACCAGAGGAGGAGTGTGAGTTTTAATTCCTACTCCCCGATGCACAACACCGCCCGTGACCTGCAGACAGGAAGTGCGAGAACGAGGCATGTTGTTAGTCATCTGAAAGGTAGAGCTGCCCTTGATAGATTTTCAGGAATAAATAAATGAAGACGTATCAATGACACATCGTTATCTGGGTGAAGTGAACTGTTTCCTGTAGATCAACCATTTTTATTATAATCCCACGCCCTCCTGTTCCGTTTACTTCCTCTCACACTTCATTCAGGAATTTCCAAAGAGAACTTAACTCACCACTTCAACAAAATGACCGCAGGTTTAATTGTTCACCTTTGGTTGTCTTAGTATGACACTGCTGACCACAGGAAAATATCAGATTGTTCCACACGTCTTTATAACGCCGCCACATTTTTATAAATAGGACACTTTAATTTTAGTCTTCTAGAAATTCTGCTACCTAAAAAAAATGAGCTACCTTGGCTGAGCTTTTTGAGGTTACTCAATTTTCTTCTATCACTTTCCTCGATCTCAATGCCAGCTTTCAGTCTTCACATTTGCTTAAAAAGTTCTATTTTTTTCTAAGACATTTATCAAATTCCTGGCTTAATCTTTATTAATCTAAGGTTTCAGTAACTTTTAACCATTTCTCAGGTCAAATATTCCTACCTATCACTGGTATTGGTGCCAACTTTTTTAACCTGCTGGTAACTTATAATTTTTTTAAATGTCGCCAACATTTCAGCTAGTAATGGCTATTTATGAATTTGTTTTTTTAACCTAGTTTGTCTAGTAATGGCTATTTATGAATTTGTTTATTTAAGCCATCACTTATCCAATCAGTCATCCTGCAACACTACTGATTGACTGACAGAATCAGTCATCCTGCAACACTACTGATTTCACTTTGTCCCTAACTGTTAGCATGAGGGCTACGTTGCTGAGGGTGGTCAAGATAAACAGACAAACCTACAGAACATGTGGAAGCTGATGAGGACAAAAATCTTTGGAAATGTGCGAGAGAAAAACCACTCATGGTGTCTATATGTAAGAGTCTGCTGACTGACTGTGAGAGGCAGCGAAACGTTGATAAGGACTCTGCCGGGGGACAAAACCTTCTGTAATCTCCTCTGCAGGAGATAACATTTAGGATCAAGACGTCATGATTGGAAAGAACTTTGGAGAACAGTTACTTTCTAAGACAAATTCTTCTCTGTGACGTCAAAGGGAGTCAAGAGGCCGAGGCTGCAGCTCCATGTCAGTACATCACACTCTTTGATTTGATACTTTTTTTTTACTGAGTACAAAAGTCACACAGTTCACTGTACCTGGTCAAACAGCTGTTTGCCGGTGGTGCTGGGCTGGATGGCAAACTCCAGCTCAGCGTCCATGGTGGTGACGCGAACGTTGACCTGTGGAGAAACACAAGAAAGAAAAAAAAAACAAGAGTTCAGGAGCCAAGCCAGAACAGCAGGGAAGACCAACACATGGGCCTGGGTTGGTGTGTGTGTGTGTGTGTGTGTGTGTGTTTGCAGAGTAAATACAACAGGACTCTGTGTTTTTTATCTCTACCTTTACACAGATGTGAGAGTTCAATGGAGACCCTGACCCTGACAATAACACTGCTCTTATTGCCCTTCAGTGAAATAAAACATCCAGCACTGGTTCTCACAGGACGGAGACGGGAAACTATGAAAGCCACCGTGTTTCCTCTGAACTGGATCAAATGTGAAGCAGGTCTGATTCACAGTCAAAAACGTCGTACGTAGTCTGGATTAATGATTGATCAGAGTGACCTGTGCGCACAAAAAGGAGGTTCACCATCTCTGTGGCCGCGGCCTCGTGGTTAAAGTTAACAGCACGGGTGTGTAAACGAACGTCGAAGAGTGGCCCGATTCAATAATGTAAATATAACCCCAGGGTCAGTGCTCTTCTTGTTAAACTCTATAAATCTGTATCTCTAGGACTGGATAACCACTGTTAACTGTGAATACAGTTCAGTACACGGTGGCTAAAACCTCACCACAGGAAACTGAAGGAAAGGACAATTAGAAATATGTAAAAGATGTGGATTTAAAGAAAAAACTCAGGGTTGAAATTCATGAGATTTTTAATAAGAATAGTTCAAATGAGCAGAAAGACAATGGGGAAAAAAGATAAAGGTTCAGTTAGCTGTGCATACTCATGATTTGCTACAAGTCGGTAAAAGCTAACTTGGTAAAATTAAAAAGAAGCTGCTGTTAGCCAGTTGATAATTTCAATAAATAGGAAAATGTTAATACCTAAACAACAGCAAAAATTAAATTGTTTGTCAACAGAAACAGCTAAAACTAGCCAAATGTTAGCTCGGACACGGGTCGTTCACAAGAACCCACACAACAGGGTATTCTTCATCGTTCCAAAAGATGTGGCTAATGTCAAGTACATCTAATGTCGGAGAGAAACAATATTCTGTGTTGTCTGCAAGTTTGCTCAGTGATGAGAGCGCAGCATTTCAATTTGACATGAGGCTTTTGTCACGACGACGACGACGACCACAGCGACACACAAACATGTTGGTGAACACTGCTCTGAGGTGATGCACACACTGCAGCCCTCTTCCTGTGTGCGTCTAATGTCAACCGTCTGTGGTATTCTGGCGTGGGTTATGAAAAGACAAAGAGCCTCCCTGCATCGAAGGAACTTATTGCAGCGCAGTGAAAACGATACAAAGAGCTCAGTGGACACAGCGAAGAGAGAAAACCCCCGCTTTACACACACACACATGCACACGCACACACACAGACACACACAAACAAGGCGGGAAAGATCTCAATGACGCCCGCGGCGGAGAGGGGGGAGGGGGGGGAGGGGGGGGGGGGGAGAGGGGGGGCTGACAGTGACTAGATTGCTGATATGGAGCAACGTTGCCCTGTATAAAGCCACATGGGTTTAAACCAACGACAGACTTTAATCCTACAGGGAATCCTATCAAGGCATTGATCGGAAAGTGCATCACCACCGCATAATCCGTGGAATTGGAAAACACACCTGTCTGGAATGCTTATGATCAATCACCGGGGCGAGACCCACAAATGGGTCTCAGGAGATTATTTTATCACCCAAAAAAAATTAATGATGAGTTTGACTTTTTTGTTTTGTTTTACAGAAATGAATTAATCCAAGAAATATGTCCCAGATTATAAGGTGAATTTATAAAAAAATAGTGAAAAAGAATGTTTGTTTAGAGAAGGTCAGATAAAGTTCCAGGTACTGTAGGTTGAACTGATGTAACGATTGACACAGACTAGCAGGAAATGTGCAAAAAATCTGTTTGTGTGCACATATTTTTTCAGCAAAATATATCTTTATCTAAAATAATTTCTGTAAATGTGTTTTTTCCAGCTGGACAGTGGACAATTCAACGGTGTGGCACAGATTTATACACAGGGCTTAAAAAGTAATTGACATGTTTTGCTTCAACGAACCCTAAGTTGGAGTAAGACCTCGGGGGAGATGGTCGTTATGTGCACATAATTCAAAACTTTTGGAGTCAAACATCGACCGTCCAACAGTGGGACATGTAGTAGCTTCGAGTCACAGTTAGGGAGCTCAGGAAGGAGCAGGAGGTGGAGGTGGAGGAGGAGGAGGGGGACGGAGGGAGGGGGGGTTAG